GGTTCATCATTCTCTCTGAGGCTCACTCTGATGGATTCATATGCTTGCCCTGGATACTGGCCTGGAACCAGCCGAGATTTCTACCAGGTCTCTGTCCCCCATCCTGAAGATCAGTCAGGCCCTGAGATACCCGTTTCTGTACTATCTAGGCAGCGCCCTGAGGAGGTAGTGTTCTAGAGTACCTGGGCAGCCACCTGGGAACAGGATTTTCCTGCAGGCTCCTTGGTGCAAATTGCATGTCTCCCGGGCCCTCTCACTCATCATGCTTCTGATGTGTCCCCACCACCTCTAGTCCCACATCATATTTCTTCTTCATATTCCCTTCCTTTTCATAGCCTCCAAGAACCTCTGCCACCTCTAACCCCCTGGACACACTCCTCCCTCTGCACCCCATCACTCAGGGAGCTGTGCGCTTCCCTCCAAGATGGTCTTCCTCCTTGTCTACCCCTTACCTTCCTGACCCCTCCTTCCAGGGCACCAAGGCCTCTCCAGAGCCATCTGCAGGAGCTTGTGACTGGCCTCCCACCTCCGTCCTCTCACCTCCTGTAGCTGGGCAATGCTCCAGCATGCTCCTTGTTAATACCCTTCAGGTGCTCCTTGTGCCCTTAGGCAAAGCTCGAATCCATCAGCCAACAGGGCCCTGTGTGCTGTGCCTTCTCCACACTCCCACGCTACCTTTCCTGAATGTATTTCCTCAAAGTACCCAGGACCTGCCAGCTCTGAATTCTCACTGTTCCTGGATCATGTGTATATGATCTTCCTGAGGCCAGAGAGTGTTCCCACAGGGCATGAGCACCATGGCCTGCTGTGGCTCCCAGGTGGCTTCTTCCCTAGACTGTAGCTTCCAGAGTTAGCACGTCTGTTTTTTTCTGCTGGATTCTGGTTGTCTAGTGCCTGGCATATGGTGAATGAGTAAATGCACAATGAATCTTCACCTGTATTTCCTGCCTCACTCTACTGCATTTCAATCCCAGCAATAGCATTTGCAGTTTGTAAAGGCAGGCCTTTGCTTCTGAGAGCCTCTCAGCCCTGTAAGCTATGACTTTACTTCGACCTCTATTGAATTCCTACATTCCTCCTACACCCAACAAAAATTCCTTCTTCATCTAAACATTCTCAAATTTCCCCAGCTCTAATTTGTAATTTATTAGTTGAATTGAATCCAAGATTGAATAAGAGACCATAGAGGGAGAGAGGGCTCTGAGCCCTGTTCCTTGGATCATATTAAGTGTGGACGCTGGGGAAATACTGCCCCAGTCCTGCTTTCTTCCTGGAAATTCCCATTGGCCTGATGAAGCCTAATGGGTTCCCCAGGGATGTGGATGGAAATACTTAATGCTCTATTACGGCATTTAGAAGACTGCAACACCACACTCACCACTGGCAGAATTGGCCAGCCTGACTCTCTGCATCGCCTAGTAATGTTATGGCAAGCCAGGCTCCTATTGACTCCAGCGAAATGGCACCATGTCTGAGAAGACAAAGAAGACACTCAGAGACAGTGAATGAGACATAGGGTTTATTGGGGGAACGTACATACAGGGATGCTCCAGTGGCAGCGGGCTGGACAAGAGAACCACCACTGTTTGTAAAAAACATGCAGTTTATATAGCATTTTCACTTAGCACCCTCCACCTAGCAACCACCATCTAACCCAAAACAAAAGGCTTTGATCCCCTGTACAGCCTATGTTCCAAAAGATGGCTGGGGGTTCAGGTGTCCTTCACAGTTAAGGTATGAAACTCCAGGTTAGCCATTCCCAGATTTCTTAGCTTGGGACTCCGAACACACATTCTTCGTAGACCATAATATCATTCTCAGTGTATTTGCTTAACTTGTTATCTTGTTATTGCTGTCAGGTGCATCTGCCATAAACATTTCGTCTGTGTATAGTATATAAGGCCTTGCAGGTGCTGCTTATAGCCAGCAAGTGCCCAGGACTTTATATCATTGCATCTCTTCTCCCTTCCCTTGGTTAAAATAATTGCCTGAGGCCTGGCTACAGTTTGCACTCTCGCAAGCATCAAACCCTGGTGCTTCTGAACTTGAGAGATGGCAAGGGAGGGACTGTACCATTTCAAAATCCAGAATCTGCGTGGTAAATACTCTGCGGAGTGGCCAGATATACTTTGGCTGGGCTGACAGAGAGCCAACCCGTGCAAACATGCAGAGATTAAAATAAAGCAATAAAATGAAGGCATGTGCATAGTGATGACAGGATAACCAAGCTTTATTAAAATTATTCTGATATTATTCTTGGTAAACATATTTTTGAAAAAGCCAATTAAGTTTATATGAAGAAAAAAGAATATTAGATTAATTTATTTTCAAACTATACTTTGACTATTGATAATTTTTTTAATTTCTGCAGATAGGTGCATTTCTCTTCTTATAAAAAGAAAACAAGAATTCCATAAAGCTGTGTTTCCTAGGTGAAATGGTGGGGCATTACCACTGTGCAATGTTTAAAGTTTGACCATGAAGGTTGAGGATTCCTCTTGGTGTGTTTAGAGTTTAAAATATTTGGATTTCAAAATTAGAAGATAATTATATAGAAGCAAGGAGTGCTGCATGGAGCTTCGATATTAAATAAGCTATCTTTAGAGACATTTGGGATAATAACCTGGCGCCCATGCACTGGAGAGGACTGACTTGACCAATAACTGCCATCAAGCACTGGGAAAGCATTTACAGGTAAATCCTCTCTGAGGTAGGGAAACAATAGTGTGAGGGCTGACAGGTATAGCAAAGGGACTCAGGGATTTGCATTGACTTCTCCTAGCAAAGTGACCTCAGTGTTTTGCATCTTCTTGTGTCACTGAAGCAGGAAGCTCTCAGCCAACATTTGTCCGCTTTTCAGTGTCCTCTGGATTGTTCCGCAGCCTCAGCTTAGTTTCCAGCTTCTGCTTCCATTCTTCTCTGAGCCTGAAAATAGAAGCCAAACACACACAGATGGAGCACTCATCTCCATGGCTGTTGGTTCAGGAGAGCTTTCTTCCTCTCCTGCCAGCCGCTGAAATTACGTGTATGTGTTCAGGTTTTAAAAGTCATGCAGAGGACATGCAAGTTTAAATATATATATTTATAATTTACTCATATTTATTTATTTATGTAAGTGTGAGTAAACAGGTTCTCATTTTTGTTAAAAGTACTTAATCTTACTTCTCTGAATTTTCCTTTGAAAATGTATTTAAAGTCAGGGAGGGTAAACCTGTCAGTCTAGACTTCTTTACACAGCAAACCTATCTTTCAACAGCAGAGGTGAAATAAAGATATTTTTAGACATACGCAAACTGAAAGAAATCACCAGCAGACTGTCACTATATGACATGTTAAAGGAGTTCCTTCAAGCAGAAGGAAAGTGACACAATATGGAAATCTGGATGTACACATGGAATGAAGAGCATCTGAAAAGCAACGATGTGGTTATATATTAATACTTTTTAAAACTACTTAAATCTCTTTAAAAATAGCCCACTGTGGTCAGGCACAGTGGCTCATTCCTGTAATCCCAGCACTTTGGGAGGCCAAGGCGGACAGATCACAAAGTCAGGAGTTCGAGACCAGCCTGGCC